GTGGAAAGAAAGGCTCTTGGCTCTTTCAAAGGGAGAGTACCCAGCCACTGGTACAGATATGTAGACGACACCTGGGTCAAAATCAAAACACAAGAAGTGGAATCCTTCACTGCTCACATTAACGCTGTGGATAAAAACATCAAGTTCACCAGGGAAGACACAAAGGACGACTGTTTGCCTTTCCTGGACTGCGCTGTGCACATTGAAGAGAATGGCAACCTCAACAGTTTACTGGAAGCCCACACACACGGACCAGTACCTCCTCTTTGACTCCCATCACCCTCTGCAACACAAACTTGGAGTAATTAGGACCCTACACCACCGGGCAGAACATGTTCCCTCTAAGCCTGAAGGGAAAAAGAAGGAACACACACATGTAAAGGGAGCACTTAAAACATGCGGTTATCCTAATTGGGCGTTCATAAAGTCAGCAAAGAGGCACAGAAAAGAAGATCAGACACCAGCTAGGGAGGATAAGAAAGACAGACGCAACAACATTGTCATCCCCTATGTAGCCGGTGTATCAGAGAAACTCAGGAGAGTTTTCTCCAAGCACGACATCCCGGTGCATTTCAGACCCAGCAACACACTCAGACAGAAACTGGTTCACCCGAAAGACAAAACTCCAAAACACAAACTTAACTATGTGATGTATGCTGTACAGTGCAGCGAGGAATGCCCAGACCTCTACATTGGAGAGACCAAACTGGGACTGATAACTTCACAAGTCTGGCTTGATTTTCTTCTGAAGGCTCACTTGAATTACCTGCAACTCCTCAGCCAGAGCTTTAAAGTTGGGAAACATTTTATCTGAAGTCAGCATGACTGTCTAAACACAGAATTTTCAGAACCTGCAAGAGCTTGCGTCACTGAGAGCCAGTCCCGCAGACTTGCTCCTTCTGTGCCCAAGATGTGGTGCTTTACAGCCCATTAGTAATCGTTCAATAGATTAGGCTGCTTATATGTTCTAATCTGAACATTCAGATTTTTGTATTGTTAAAAAACCCAGTCAACAACAGAAAACATTCAGTGAATGGTTACCTGTGAGGGGGTGGATGGAAAAGGACTCATGGGGCTGAATAATATGCACTTGAAACTCAAAGCCAATGGGACAGCTACATCTCAGAGGAATAGCATGGCAAACGCTAGTGACAAGGAAAGAAAGACAGAGATGATATTATTTTTTTATGACTTGACATCAATGGGTGAATGAAATCATGGCTGGCTGCATGGAAGAATACAAGGAGACAGGCAAGACCTCAGGCAGACGTGAGGTCAAAATAAACCAGTCCATCATAGAGACTAACATGAAGCACACACACACACACACACACACACACACACACACACCTTTGTCTGAGTGCTACAGCTGGTAGGTCGATATGAGTAGGGATGTGCAGGTCATCGATGACAGGGTAAGCATGAACTGGAATTAACAGGTTATCTTCCCCCTGAGAAAGGGTGTAGGCAGGTTGAATGAACAAAATCAAGAGAAAACATAAGAGAGAGGATATGAAGTGTGAAAGAAGCACAGAGAAAAATGAAAACAGTTCTCAGAGTAAAGATCAAGGTAGATAAGTTAAAGCAGAGAGTAAATCCTGCTTGTTTAAATGTTTGCTAAACTCCATAAGTAAGATAAGATGCATGTTACACCAGCTAGCTCCTGCAGGGAGTCACAGTGTAAATTCTGCGAAAATCAACTTCTCTTTAATGCCTTTGGTGGAACGATTTAAGCACAAAACAAACAGCATTAGCACACTGCAGCTGACTCCCTGCCAAACAGTAACAGAGTGCCCACAATGGCACAGAAACTGTTGGAACCTAACCTTACAGTGAACTCGAATGCAGTCATAGAAGTAACGCCACTCATCAGGACAGAATCCGACCTTCAGCGTGTAGGCGAGGCCTGGGATGAGTCGATACTGGAAGGAAAACAGATGGAACAAGACTGAATCATCAGAAACAACACTGATTGCACTCATGGCCAAGTGGAGTTATAATCTTATATTCAGGTCAGCAATTTGGAACGATGAAAAAAAAATACCTTTTTGGTATAAGTTGTTTGGAAGTACTTGGTTTGGGTGGGAATTACATGAATATTCATAACCTCAGATGAGATGTTGATTAATTTCTGATGGATAGGAAGAGGAGAGGAAAAAAATCATTCATTCCACTTAAAATGTGCGCTTGAGAAAGCCATTTCCATATTCCTGGTGCTTACAGTGCTCAACCATGCTCACAGTGTGTAAAATCAGTCCCCCATTCACTTTAAATTACCCTAATGGAAACCAAATGAGAGGACTTGATGATGCGATAGGATTCTTAAAATTATTTTAATGTTTTGTAAAGAAAATACAAATTGAATCTGTTTGAGTTTGAAGTTACTGTTTCTTTAAAATGCAATCAAGCACAAAATGTCTGTAATCAAAAAGAAACTTTAGAGCAAAAGTACTGACGATGTTTTAAAAATGTTTTATTTGTAGAAAAAAAGTTGATTCAAATCCAAAGATTTAATTAGATGCTATATATTTTGTTTCATAATCAAAATCAAATCTAATGTTTTTGTTTTCAAACCAAAAATATTTGTCTGTGAATCCAAAAAAGTTTTGTTTGCAAGTTTTCCTTTGAAATAAAAACTTTATTAGCAAACAAAATGTTTCAAAATGTTTTTGAATGAGTTGGTTTTATAAGAAACCAAACCTTCCAAGTTTTTGTTTTCAAATAAAACATTTTTGTCTCTGAATTTAAAAAATGTTAATTAATGCAAATCTGTCGTTTACAAATCCAAAGGTTCTGTTTGCCATAAATGTTTGTGTGTGAATCCAAAAGTTTAACTAGAAACCCCAGAATTTTTTTTGTAGTCTAAAGTTTTGTTTTTGCTTGTGGATCCAATTAATTCAAACATTTTCCTTTGAAATCAAATTTGGATTTGCAAATTTTCTTTGCAAATCCAAAAAATGTCTTTGAAATCTTTGTTTGCGTTTAAATCAAAAAGTTTTATTGATGAATCACAAACTTGTATTTGTCCCTGAGCTGGCAGCTTGGTGACATCCAATAAGTGGGAGAAATTTGATGGAAAATACAAACGGGGGTTGGTGAAAACAGAAAAGCACTGCACGCATATTTACACTTAATCGCTACTTCAGTAATAGCCAGAATGTCTTTTTTGAACTAGTGTTTCAAATAGAGTATTTGTCATCCTTTAGCTGCTAGACGTATTTTGGCCTATTTAAATATAACAGACTGTCAAACAAATACAGTCTGCATTCATTTGGACGCAACATGCTCGCTGTTACTGAAACTGGTAATGATAAATCTCATATACTTCATATATTTCATTGTAGGTCCCCACTCATGATTCACATTATAATAACAGTCTTATTTTAGCTACAGTAAAACATTTGTGTTTGACTGCATAATAAGACACAAAGCAACTCCACATCTCTGGTGGGTGCCAAAACTGAGGTCTGGTTAGTGCTGACTGCAAAATTCAACAAAAACAACCAGAGGCCTTGACCCAACACCATCTCTATTGTCTGCCTGACACAGCTGTGGTAATTATCCACAGAGGAGATCTGAGCACTATCTTCTCAATCATATCTATATAGTGTCTTCACAACCATTAATATTAAGCTACCTGCTCAAATGAGGTGTCACATTTATCAAGTACATTCCTATTACAATAACTCCAAAATAAAGAGACAAAAACCACATAACACCTGCCCTGTGATTTAGCTACATCATTTGCTTTTTGGAAAGTAGTAAAGGAAAACAGCAGGACTTTCCTCACCAGGATTTTTACATAATCCTTGCCGAGCTCAAAGCCACTGAAGTGAAGCTCAGAGGGCTCTGCTTGGATCAGGCTGTTGCTTTTCAGGTTAGCATAGATTTCTACAAGAAATACATAAATAAATAAACAGAAATCTCAACCTAAGTTGTCATTGTAAAATCAAGTACTTAGCATCACTGCTTCCAGAAAACTACAATTATGAATTCTATCGAGGATTTCAGAGGTCATGGTTAATATGTACTTGACTCCAGCAGATGATTGGGGATGTTGCCTCTGCTCTGGGTCGCCTCCACCAGCTGGCTCAGAGGTAGAGATGCCCTCCTCCTCAGGGGCTCTGAGAGCGTCTGTGGCCCAGACAGAGCCACCTCCATCCTGGCAAAAGATGAGCCCTTGCTCCTCACGAGAGGGACGACAGACGGTCGGAGGACAGTCACTGCGACATCTGAAGGCATCATCAGAGGAAGGGTTATGAAAGAAACACGGCGATTATTTTCTCTTTTCTTTTTTTATGTAAGGAAAATAGAGTTAATTTAATAAAGTCACTTTCTGTTAGACTCATTGACGCATTCACTATAAAAGTGAGAAATTACAAACTCATGTGCGACGCTAGGAATGCTAAAAATTGCAAATGACCCATGTACTGTTGACTATTAATATGAATAATTCGAAATAACTTTAAAAGCTTCATATAAATAGTTTTATTAAAGCCTCTTAAAAAAACAGGACTTACTTATGTAACAGACAGGCGGGTGCGTTTATTTATTCAAATACAGCAGTCGTGTTTCGTGTATTTTCGCTTCAACACCTTTTACTGCTGTTGTCAAACGCGGCCGTTACCGTGGTGACCACCAAACTCTGAAGGGGTGGGACAAATATCCTGATTCGTCGGCTGCCTGTGTTGTTACACACGTAAATAATCCGATGTTAGGCGGGAAGCTAAACATTTTACTTTCAAAATAAAAGTCAAGCTTCAAGCTTACGTGTTGTTATTTGTTTGAATACGTTTACTACACAGTAAATCAATATATATAAATTAATCAAAACTTAGATTTTCTATGGATATGTTGCTAAATATATTCGCAGATGTCCTATCACTACGTTTAACAGTAAATAAATAAACACTTTGAAAGTCGTAAAGGACGTTTTCATTGTATTAGCGCGACCTTGATAAAAACCCCTATCACACTGTCCTGAGGCATACCCTGCGTGATTATCAAGCCAAAGAGGCGCATGTTTGATTTTCCGACTTCACGCATTTGCTGCATAGCAGCCATGCTAATTTTTCATTCTAATCATTTAAACACCCTGGGATTTGGACGCAAGTACACATTTTAATGGAGAAAATCAAAGTTTTTGACCTAATGATAAAACTTGGACTTATTTGGGTTTTACTTTTCCCACAGGTGAGAAAAAAGAGGCATGCTTGTTTAGTTTTTTTTTTAATCTATGAAAAATCAGCAGAGCCCGATGTAATATTTCCTTAAAAACAGGCAAAATCGTCACCAGTCTGTCATCCTAATGTTCGCCTTATGAGAGAGGAAGAAAAGTGCATGAAAGATTTGCTACTTTCAACATCACACAAAACAGCTGGTAAGTCAATACGGTTTCTAAATTGTCTCTTTCCGCTCTGTCGTGACATGTCAAGGACCGCTGCTTGGTGGAAAGTGCCAAGAGGGAATACTAGTCATATCTGAAATTAATGACATTTTTAAACTTTTTTTTTTTAACTTAACGGTATTTTATCGACACCTGCTGGTTACATAACATACTGCAACAAATATTAATCCTGAAGTGGATTGTGTTTCACATTTTAAAATGTGGCTCCATTGTTTGTATGGAAACAAAACCTACTATAAAATTGAAATATATATTTGTTTTTGTTCTACTAAGAAAATAACAGCATGCACTGCAAGGGAATGTGGGACGACTTGAACTGCTGGCCACCGGCTTTTCTTGGGGAAACTGTTTCACAACCTTGTCCAGAGTTTTTTAATTCAGGAGGTACTATGCAAACACACACACACCAGCACTCACTTGCACCTATTATTTATACTACATTGCACCTGTTAAATATTTGCCAGTAACCTAATTTGTTTTCATAAGGAAATTAAACACCTACTCCCTCTCAGGGTCTCTATCCAAACACTACGCCATAAAATACATGTGTACATAAGACACCGGGAAACATTTTAGTGGTAGGTTTACTCTGGGAGATAACTTTGATAAATTCTGAAGTGCCTGAAGAGGGAAATAAAAAGTTCTGCATTTCTTTTGGTAGATTATTTACCATTATACAATAAACACAGATGTCAGGTTCTTTTTTTTTCTTTCTTTGTACACACAGGTTCCCAAAGTAGCATACATATATATATATATAAAAAAACACCCAGCACGCCCCTGCGGGCGGTTTGTCCTTCAAGCTCGGGTCCTCTACCAGAGGCCTGGGAGCTTGAGGGTCCTGCACAGTATCTTAGCTTTTCCCGGGACTGCGCTTTTCTGGACAGAGATCTCCAATGTTGTTCCCGGGATCTGCTGGAGCCACTCGCCTAGCTTGGGAGTCACCACACCTAGTGCTCCGATTACCACAGGGACCACCGTTACCTTCACCCTCCGTGTGTGTGTGTGTGTGTGTGTGTGTGTACATAGCAGTGCAGTTTGCACACCAAGACAAAACTCAAGTGTTACTTTATTGCTTTTTACAGGTAAAGTGCATCGCAACTGCACAAACAATGGCTGGACAGACCTGCTGATTCCACACGAAGATGCTTGTGGCTACTCTTTCAATGAAAGTCTCTTATTTCTTGGAGAGGTTGGTGTTTAGATAGATAGATAGATAGATAGATAGATAGATAGATAGATAGATAGATAGATAGATAGATAGATAGATAGATAGGCTCAAGTCTGAAGGGAAAAAACAGTGCCTCATGGGAACTCTTCTAAAAGCCAATGCTTATCTCACTTGCTAAGTGATGATATAAACAGCTCTGCTTCCAGACCCACGCATTTACTGCTTTGGATGAGGCTCCTGTCATTTTAATGTGCTTCAGAGCTTTTGTTCTTTGTTTTGAAATAGACACATGGCTGTAACATTTTTCATTGTCATTTTCGACACTTTTATGAGCATGAGGGCCACAACTTTAATAGAGACCATGCACAAACATTAACGACTAAGCTCGTGTTGTGGATGGAGTTATGCAGGTATTCTCATGACTAAGGTGATACCCATTTTTAGTGTCTTCTTCCTGATATATGATGGTGTTTGTCTTTGCTAACCGCTGAACCTAACCCAGCTGCTCCTGTGGTAATATGCTGATGTAGTCTAAAGCTAGCTCATGATAGCAGGCCATTGCCAATGCCAACTAGCCCAAATGAACTGACCCTTAAAACAGTACTTAGTTTTACTTTTCCATTTTGCTTATGTTCAAAGTCAGAGCATTGCTGTACATTTTTGGTTTATTTAGAAATGCTAGCTACAGTACATTCTAGCTAGCTAATTTACCGCTAACTTCTAATTCTGCTCAAACATGTAAATCTGCCTTTTCATGGACTCCTTGATATTATGTCTTTTTGTTTTTGTATTTTAAACCACTGAACGCTGATTTATTAATTATTCAAATATAAAAAAGCCACCTAACTCAAGGGATAAACTAGTTTTGTGTCTACACATAACTAATAATTTAGCAAAGAACCCATTTAAAATTGTATCTTTAGACACTTTGTTACTGTCTGTCACAGAAGCACATCATTTATTCCCACTTCGAGTGTTAAATCTATGAAAAAAGGCTGGAGTATCGGACAAACAAAAGTACCTACAGTAGATGAACAGTATCTGACAACTTAAAGAAATTACAAGAAAGTTTGCCTAAGAGAGTTCAGGCTCTTTTGAAGAATAATGGCGGTCATATCAAATTTTGACTTTCAAGCTCGCTAGAATCGTATAATTAGTTTTTGCCTTGCATACTGCATTTCCGTGCATTGTAGTACATTTCAATAAATCACTGTGGTTATTTCCATTTAACTAGCCAAATATAAAGACATGAACCTTTGCACAGAATACATGCAGTTAAATAAGACAAATTATCAGTGTATTCTTAGTTTCCGTCATTATATTATATCATACTGCATTCTCATATCCTGCTGCTTAGGAAAATAATTGAATATCGTCTATTCTTGATTCAGTCCTCAGACAGCCACTTGTATTTCTCCTATGTGAAGACAATGTACACAGTTGGATACACAATTTCCCTCATCTCTCTCATCATTGCCATCACCATATTCTGTGTGTTTAGGTGAGCAACATCTTGGCCTGAATAACTGTCAACCCTGTGCTTAAAGATGGTGAATAGTTCCTAACCTCGAATTGTCCGTGTTTATATTCCTTCAGGAAACTTCATTGTACCAGGAACTACATTCACATTCAACTGTTCATTTCCTTCAGCCTGAGAGCCATCTTCATCTTCATCCGAGATGCTCTGCTCTTTACAGATGAAGAGATTTATCACTGTGACTACTATCCGGTAGCGATGGACCAGCGATTGTTTGATGAAACCCAAGTTCTGAGGCTTAATAGGATTAAAAATGTGTTACTGTTTTGTCATTTCTTCTCAGTTAAACTGATCCAAGAAGTTCTTGGCTTATCTTAGCTTAGCATAAATGTTGGCAGTAAAGGCAAAAGAAAGAATGTAGTAATATGCTCTTTTGGCAGCGAGTAGAAATCTTCAGGCGTTATTTTGGTACTGAGGTTGTGATGTAAACTGCATGGACTCACTGAAATCTAGCATAGGCATCATTTTAGCAGAGTCGTTTTGTTCTAGAACTAAAACTATTTTTGATACCTTGGAATAACAATAAGCCTAACTCAAGTTCTTTTGTGTAATTGTGGTGGGGCAGGCGCCGTGTAAGGTCGTGCTGATGTTTTCCAACTACTCCATCCTTGCAAACTACAGCTGGCTGCTGGTGGAGGGCCACTTCCTATACACCCTTGTTAACCGCTCCTTCTTCTCCCTGAAGAAACATCTGGCCTGGTACATCGTCCTCAGCTGGGGTGGGAAGAACCGTCTTCACCTTGTGGTGTCTCCTTTCCTAAAACTCAACCTCAGATCTATAGTCACTGATTTATTTCATCACACAGGTTTGCCACTGATTGTGATCATCTCCTGGGGGTGTGCAAAATATTTTTATGAAGATGAAGGGTAAGGTCTGTTTCTCTCAGCCTTGCAGTTATGATATTATCATGTCATGTATTATTATTTGACAGTTTTTTCTCATTCTCTTTTCAAAGATGTTGGGAAACCAGGAGGCATGAATGGATTTGGTGGATACTTCGAGTGCCAGTTCTTCTAAATATATCTGTAAAACTTTGGTTTTCTGTTGTACTTACATTTCATTCTTATTTGAAAGATTATTTTTAAACATTCCACATTTTGAACATACTTTTTAGATTGACAGATGTACGTATCATGTGTAAGCTAAATCTGAAGCTAACAGCAAGTTAACTTAGCTAACAACTTAGCTAACCACATGAAGAGAAAATGTCTGCCATTATTATTTATTTCAACAAAGTAACTGTATTCTGAATACCACCTTTTTAAACAGTGACTGTAATGGAATACAGTTACTCATATTTTCTATTTTAAATACATAACGGCGGTACATGTATTCCATTACTCCCCAACACTGGTGGCAACAAAAGCAATTACTGGGAGTGTTTTTTTTAGTAGCACCTTCTTAGAATCCAATTTCACCCAGCGAGAACCCACAACCTCCATGAACCACTGCCACTCAGGAAAATACGCATTTTTTTCTAGAAATCATTGATTGTATCATGTCCAATATGGCGGACAACTCTGACGCAATGTCTACCTGAGAAGGGACTAGAAGCACAGAAGGAGAAACAATCATTTGCACTGCTTTTATCATTTCAGATGAACCTCATCTTTTTCATGGGGATTTTGAGGATACTGGTGAGCAAACTCAGAATGCCAGATGCACAGAGAAACGAATTAAGCCAGTATAAGTGAGTAGTGCATACAGGGTAATGTTTGCTGTTATACTTCTATGATATATTCATACTGATGGACCTATACTTATACTAATATGTTCACCTAAAGGTAAATTTGTAAACTCACAAGTTCAAAAAGAGTTTAAAACCCTAAAATATATAGCTGTCAATAGAATGTGATAAAACGACGGTTTCATTGTGTTGAAGAGTTATCAACTGAAGTTTAACTAGAGCTCAGTCACACTGCTCTGTGACGTAACATGCGGCAAGTCAATGCAAACTCTATTCAGCCAGGCAAGTCAGGGATGTCAAACTCATTTTGCATGGTTTAACCTGTGAAACTCCCTGTTCTGCAAGTGCAAAGAACTTTACTTACAAATATTTCAATATAAGAAAAAGAAGTGTGTCTGCATGCTCTACATGCTTTGCAAACAAAAGAAATCTGTCAGCACGGATCTTTGGGCTTAAAATGTAAGGAATAAATATGTAAAATCACAGAAAATTTTCTGGCAGCTCATTGGCCACAAAGACTGCCCTGTAATTATAAAAGTGGGAGTTTTTGTTAATTCACAGAAAATGCTTTTTTTAAACAGTGGACCCATTGTAAAAAAACATGTTATATCTGTTACGTAATCATGTTGGTGTATAACAGATGACGATGGGGGAGGTCTTTATCAGTCATCATCAAAGAATACAGTTAAAAGTCTAAAATTGTATGCCTTCAATCATATTTTTCAAAGCTGTCCAGCAGGCCTGATTGGAGCCTTTGCCAGGCTGTTTCTGGCCCCAGGCCTTATGTTTGACACCCTTGATGTAGATTAACATATTCAGCATAATAAGTCCCCCTAAGGTGTCTGGGGTTTAAAAAATATATCATTCTGAATATACATCAACAGTAATATATATATATATA